GCATATGGGTCTTTTTCCGCTCTCCTGCTCCCCACGGTTAGTCCCTTTGGACGTCCGTGACAATGACCACAGAGAGTCAGGACCTCGGTTTTACATCTCATCCGAAGGACGGCGCCTATAGTGTTCCCGTCACTATAATGGGGCAGTAGGACCCACATGGACTGCAAGGTGAGTGTACCCTGCTGGCCCCACTAACACCTCTTCCAGCAGCAACTTTAGTTTTTCCCAGGAGGTCTCCCATCTAGGTACTGACCAGGTACTGAACAGGCTCACACCTGCTTAACTTCAGTGGGTTGTCAGTTGTACTGTAAGTTGCAGAGTGATATGTTACATACCTTAGACAGCTAGACAGAACATTCCTGGTTTCGAAATACCTGGATTCCTTGCCTAGTGTAGAAGAAAACTCAGTCTTCACTCAGGTTAGGAGATTGTCAACGGAGATCTTTAATTCAATCAGCTGAAGGGGAGCATATCACAGAGAAAGGATTTCCCCCAGCACTCAAGACATGCTCAGACTGTGATTAGACCTGTACTACTATATGGAGCTGAATGCTTGGCAGTTGGAAAGAGGGAAGAGAACCTGATGAGAAGAACTGAAATGAGGATGTTGAGATGGATTCTGCAGATTTCAATGAAGGATAAGTTCAGAAATGAAGAAATCCGTAGACGATGTAGGGTGGTGGATGTAGTTGAGAAGATGCGAGAGGCGAGGTTACGGTAGTATGGACATATCATGAGGAGGGACGCTAAGGAAGTAACAAAGAGGGTAATGGAATTTGAGGTGGAAGGTAACAGGGGAAGAGGCAGGCCTAGAAAGAGATAGATAGATTGTTTGAGAAAAGATATGGAGGTATGTGAAGTGAGTGAGGAAGATGTGCTCGACAGACACAAGTGGAGAAGAGCAACCAAAGCAGCTGACCCCAGGACAGTCTGGGACTAAGACTGTGAAAAAGAAGAAGAAGAAGAAGAAGACTCAAGACATGCTCATTGGATTGAAGTTACACTTTCCTTTTACATTAAAAGTAGGCAAGACTTTAACATATCAAAGGAACATACAGAGAAAGGGACAGTGTCAGAAGTTAAACAAACAGTACAGGAAGATGCCATTTGGCATCCTGCAAATATGTTTCATTTCTCTCTGGTTGAATGGGTGTGAAGAATCACAGGCTTTAGTTTGCACCTAAGACTAAATAAATGAATTTCCAACATTGTTGCATTTTCGGGCAGGGCCAGAATATATATAAATGAGTAGTGTCTTGCTCTCCACATCATCTCCAACATTGTGAACTGCTTCCTTTTTCTTTTGCTTTAATTTTAGGACAGAAATTTCCCCAAACTTGTGAACTGGTGGAGCTTTGTTGAAATCTGCATATGTTCCTCCATTGATATGTAGAAATTGTTCTTTATGACATTTTATTTTAATATATGTAATATATTACAAGTGATCTACACTCCAAAACTGTCTGTATTTGGAAATTCATCTATGATCAAAGACTCATTCTCCTTCCATTTTGCACTATAATCTGTCACGATTGTAGTCGCTCCCCCTTAAGGGCTCTCCGGCTCTTTCACTTTGGACTTGATTTTGTGCACCTGCCCCGTTTCAGGTTACAGTTTCAGTTCGGGGTGGAGCAGTGGCTAAGGATCTGTGCTTGTGGCTGGAAGGTTGCTAGTTCAAACCCTGCAAATCCTACTCTGTTGGGCTCCTGAGCATGGCCATTAACCCCAACTCCTCCAGGGGTGCTGTACAATGGCTGACCCTGTGCTCTGACCCCAAGCTTCTCTCCTTTCTGTCTGTGTGTCTCATGGAGAGCAAGCTGGTGTATGTGAAAAGACAAATTCCTAAAGCAAAAAATTGTATATGGCTAATAAAGTGATCTTATCTTAGAACCATAAAATATGGCAGAAGTAGAGGTTTCAAATCACAATTTGATAAATAACCCTGCAGTATTATTTACTGTTCTTATCCCTTTTAATGCTAAAGCTGTACATTTGTTTTGCCAGACATTTAAAAAATTATTCAGGAGTGCAGATTGAATGATGTTATAGCACACATTTATTTATATTGAAAACTATCCAAATATTTGATAGTTTAGGCTGCTCACAGAGGATACTACAGAACATAGTCTCCAGACCCACACCAAACCTATTATTTTAATTTTTTTATGGTCATATTTGTCTCATATAAATATGACCCTAAAAAATAAAAAAAATATTTCTATGCACTTTAATTGTACAATAAGAGAATATTAAAACAGTGGGAATAAGCCATCCATCCATTTTCTAACCACCTCTTCCAATTCAGGGTTGTGGGGGAGTTGGAACCTATCCTGGCAAGCAACGGGCACAAGGCAGGACACACCCTGGTTAGGGTGCCAGTATTCAGAGGGCAGACACACAGGCACAAACAAAGACATAATTCACTTCTAGTGCCAGTTTTCACAGAATCTAGTTAACTTTCCAGTAATTGTTTGGACTGTGGGGGGATACCAGAGCCTCATAGAAACCCATGTGAATGCAGGGAGAGCAAACAAACTCCACAGCACCCTAGGTCCAGAACTGAACCCAATGCCCCAGCGTTTAGAGGCAGCAATGCTAACCACTGCACCAACCCAGTTTTGGAAGATGTAACACTAAGTTGCTATAATTATTGTTGCCATTGTAATTTTTTATACTCGACATTGTTTTTCGCTATACAGGCAAAATAATACCATCATTTCTCATCAGTACTTAAAAAAATATAGGGTAGAAACTCCGACTTTTTCTCCACCATATCCCGATTAGTTACATTCCTTTATTTGCCTAATTACTGTAGATATACTCCTTTTATCTCCTGATGCCTTTTTTTTCTTTAATAGATATTTCGGAGCAAGAACACTTCAGATAAAGTGTAACTTGTTTACCCTAGTTACAATGCCTGTAATATTTTATTTTAAGTAAAAAAGCAACTGTTATTTAATCTGAACTAAAACAAGTGAGGGAAGGTTATTATATTGCATTTTAAATATAAACACATATTTTATATATTTAATTTAAGTTATTCCGGCCTTCTGATTATTTTATTATAATATTAATCATACTCAGGAGTATTATTTTCATTGTAAATTACATAATGTTACAGAAACATCCTGACCTAAAAATACTTCCATTCGCTTCATTGGTTGTGCTCAAGAGTCTCCTGAACTACGCACAAATCCTGCGCGAACCTGAGATCTTCAATCAAGCGCACTGCCTGTTTAAATACGTTCTGTAGTACTGTCCTTCAGAATCCTAACGTCTTTCGTTTTAATGCTTAGGCTCAGCATCAGCAATGAATGTAGGAAATGATGCAGTTGAAGAAGGTTGAAGGGCATGTCTTTTAACAAATCAGAGAACAAACAGATATAGCACTAAATATCAATTCCCCAATAGGATTTCAGTGGGCGTGAGTAAAACGTTGTAGCACTGTAAGCTTCGATGTTGCGTTATTGAATGACTCATTGCACATTAGGAGGTTGAATCTTTCGGAAGGCTGTTGTATTTCGGTGGTTCTCTAGAAATAAAACAAAAAAACCAATCAACAGGATTGAAATGTTACAGTTTAGGTTTTCGACAGCGTTAAAGGAGTTTTTTCAGACCAATCTGAAGCGTTCTTTGGCAGGTGTTTCAAAAAATAAAGTGTCATTCGTGACCTACTGTTTAAGCGCTGCTTCTCTGGATGTCCAAGTGGTGTCTAAACTGAAGCCCTTTCATGCCGGAGGATATAGATCCGTTTTTCAGCCGCTAGTCGGGTGTAGACCCTTTTGCTCCAAATCTGAAGGCGCAGTAGCAGAGACTGAGCAGCGGAAGCACAATGATAACAGCAAAGAAGCTGCGGCGGAGAAGTAAGTCCGGGAATTGTTAAAATTGAACGGTGGTGGATTTCACAGAAAATTTAATTTAGATTTCAAGAAAATAATGCTTTAAAACTGACCCAGATTTTTACATTAAATAAAATGCGTATGCACTGGCCTGCATTAAATTAAACATGACTTTATTGTGAGGTTGCTTTCAATACGCAAATTCTTTACTTTTACCGTGTTAATGCTGCTTATGTTTAGTGACTGCTAAAGAACCGAAACAGCGGTAAATTAATTTAATCTACTGATTACAACTGATGACAGAAATCGTATTAAGAAATTGTAAACGCTTATAATAATTTGTCTCGTCGGTTAGTTACAGTAAAGAAGAATTTGGCGCACGTGGTTTTTCCCGGAAGGAGGACTTGATTATCTATTGGCACTGATCCAGTCTAGATCATTTGTTGCAGTCGGCTTTGCAATGTGCATACAATGGCTTTCTTCCGTAAACAACTGATATCGTGTTTAGTGACCGCTAATACTAATTACAACTGTGGTAGTTATGCCTAGAGTTTATCGCGTATCTCATAACAGATGGGTTAAGTAGATTACTAATCAGGACACAATTCAATATATTATGATACAAAATCCCACCCGCTTCCCTTTGAAGGCTGTGGTGTCCATTAAAAATGGTGGCGTTTTCAACAATATCTTCGTTCATAGCAGGAACGTTTTGATGACCACGATTGAAGTCAGTTGATATAATTGAATGCCGGTGTTTCCCGGTGGATACATTAGTGTTCTTTTTCTAATTTCCATACTTGGTAATCAATTGATTAAAAATGCGGAAAGGTTGCCCCACTGGTACAAAGGGAACATTATTTCTTAGGAGGTATCTCCTGAAATGATCGTATTTTATGAATCTCGATTTAACAGAATCCTCCCTGATTTAATTTTTCTAATGTGTTGTTGTTCCGCTTTGTATTTATTCCAAGACAGTATTGGGTTTATTTCAGATTCTTACTAGACAAGGACGCTGGAATGGGAAAGCACAGCAGTATCATTGTTTCTTGTCTTGTCAGTATTGCAACAAAATAATTTCAGAATCTTTTCATTACAAATGTTTTTGTAACAAACACCTGGAGTACAATGCATACATTTTATTATATTTGAGCACTCATACACTTCTCAATTTAGCTGCATATATAGGTCATAGGATATAATTTTAGATAAGTTAATTTGATTCAGAAGAATTATATTATACTGTAGTCAGTTCTGTTGGATTTCCATATGCAGTATGTATTTAAAATAATGTTGCTCTGTTTTAACAGTATGAAAACTTCCTGCTGTCTTGAGAAGTTATGTGGGATGTGGTGTTTGAGGAGCATGTGATACGTGCTTCATTTTCTAAGCGAAAACTGTCTGAAAGAATGTAGTGTTATACGTGGCATTTTTCTCTGCTTCATGTCTGTTGAGGAGCCAGCAAAATAAAATGATTTACTTTCTGAAGATGATCTTTACTATGTTTCTGATTTTTGTTACTTTTATAATAGTTAATTTTTTAATTAATTCTTTCTGAAAACAGCATGATGCCTATCACAATGCCTTCTGTTCTTTGATTTAATCATTTTTGCCACATATTCCAGGCAGATTTAATACTTGCTGCTAAGAATATAGTCAGTACAGGAGGATGTTCTGTGTCCAGTGGGAAAGAGGTTGTGTAGTCCCTCGCATTATCATTTTTCAAAAGCCAAGTAAATTATCATCTCTAATGATTAAAAATTGGTGATGAACATAGAAATACTTTCAGTTGAGTGTGGATTAGTTTTACCTAAATCTGGATTTCTTATCAGTTTGAATATCCTCCTATTATCTGGTTTCTGAAAAATATAGGAATGCACTTGCTATAATGGGAAAAACTTTGAGGTCATGACCATTAGGGACATACAGTAAATTGAAACAAAAACAAACTAAGTAGTGGTTAACAAACCTAATAAGTACACAAACATCTTAAATTGTCCCTAACTGACCTGTCTACAGAATGTTTCAGTTTTCTAATTCTTAATTTAAGAACCCCCTCAGTTTTATTAGTTCCAGAGGAGTGTGCTGCATCATGACAGTGGTTGTTTTGAAAGTTGTGGATGTCATTAGTTTTAAGGTGAGATTTCTGCATTAGAATGCATTAGAATTTTCTTTAAAGAGATATCTTTTTACAATGCAGAAAGTCCTAATACATAGTATGTTTAATGCGATTAAGTAGGCCACTGAGTTTCCAGATACAAAAACTGTTGTCACAGTAGATAAGAATAATAAATTGAGAATCTCTCACTCATAAAAAACAATCAAAATAAATACAGATATAAATAGTTTCCTTATCAGACCTATTGTGAAGAAAGATGATATTCCAAACAAAACAGACTTTATGCATGGAATGCAAAGCAGTATATTATGAATATAAGTATAATGTGGCAGATAAAACTGCAACAGTAGAAAAATAAGGAAAAGGGGAGATCAGCAAAAAAGCCAACACTGCAAAACATTGACTGTGAAAACAGTGTAGTTAGAAATAAGGCTTCAAAAAACTATATTTCTCTGAAACATAAATCTTCAGTGAGCACTGAGCACAACAGTTCAATGCTCTGAAACCCAACCCCCCATTATTCAATAAATAAGCAGAAACAAAACCTTTTCAAAAGTCCTTTTATAACAAGATATCCATAATCCAATTCAAAATTATAACCGATAGTATTACAGTATATATACAGTATTACATGTCCTAATGGTAAATGTAATGTCAGTGTAGACAGTGTAAACCTTACAGTTCTGATAAACTTTAATGTCCACATTGAACTGTATCCATTGCCAAAATATTTGTAGACTCCAAAGACATTGAAAAATCTTCATATTGGTTTGGTGTTTTAACAGCATTTGTTTCCACCATGAAGACCTTAACAAGAGGAACTGGATAAGTCAGAAAAGACTTAATCCTCGTCCTCATTTGAATGTGAGATTTCCTGGCTTGTGCTATGTCCTTTTCAAAACTGCAACGTTGTAATCCGTGAAAGAGTGTGGTCTATAACTACTGTACTATAAGGTTGGATTACAATGTGTTGTAGCAGTTTAAAAGTCAGTTTGCATGGCATGGATCTGAGGGTGTTTATACTTGCTGGTGGTGGGTCTTTGTCTCTGCTCTCCAAAGACGGACTCCCTTTAGAGAGGTTAGACTGAAGAACTTTTATAGGTTCACTCCCCTCTTGATCCTACCAGTGTCTCCAGCAGTGATTCTGGTTTTGGCCAGTTGCTGTTTAACCACCTGTATGCTTATTAATTACCCACGTTTTATTAAGCTTCAAAGTAAATGATTTTAGATCAGTTTCTAGGGATCTGTGTCTCTCGGCTAAGTGGTGAATGCAAATTGCCAAACTGTAACTTCTGCAAATGAAAAAAAGGTGACATGGATCTTTGACTTGGTGAGTTTGGTAGGTATTTCCAGTAACTTTTTTTAAAACTGTGAATAGGATGTCTTTATCACTTTTCATTATCATATTGATAACTTATATTAGGGTTTTTTTATGAACAATCCTTATTAATACACCTATTTTCTAACTGCTTCTTCCAAATCAGTGTTTCAGGGGAGCTGGAGCCTATCCCAGTTGCAAACTCAAGGCAGAGCAGACGGACACAAACACAGACACCCAAACACTCACAGCATGGTGATGCAGCTAGCTTCTTGGGTCCGTGATTAAATCCAGGGCTCCAGCACTGTGAGGCAGCAATGCTAACCACTGTACCACTGTGCTTTCCCCAAACCTATTCATGTTTTTGTTATTCACTGTTAATTTTTAAAAAAGATTTGATCTTTGCTTTTGAAATATTGTGATATCTTCAAAACTGTATTTCTCATGGCACTGTGGTACTAAACATTATAGTGAACTTGTTTTGTATTTATTTTAGTTAATATTAACAAAAACTACCTCGGTTCATCGTTAAGTGAATTATGTTTGCATTTATTGAAATTGTTAAATAACTTGTTGATTTCAAAACAGACTATTATTTTACTTAGAAACAAGACGTTACCCAAAACATTGGCGACTAAGACTACTGATATGTTTACAAACACATGTATCAGGCTTATAGAATGGAGCTGAGTCAGCTTGCAAGCTGCAAAGAAAAAAGTAGAGATTAATTAAACTCTGAAAAGACAACTGTTTCCTATGTTGTGTCATGTTTGAAAGGTTGTCTAAAAGCTGCTGTAGCATATTTATATAAATTCACAGTAAGGTTTGTCAGGATGTTGTTGTATTCTCTATGCACATTCTTGCGAAACCTAAACTTGTCTCACTTGTGGCATAATACTTACCGATAATAAGTATTTAAATAAAGCAAATGTTCGTTTTTCATATATAATTATTCACTAGCTCGTAATAAAGTTTCATACAATTAAGGAACAACTCTGATGCATGAGAGACTGTGGAGTGATTTACAAACGGATTCTGCGGTATTCTATTATGCTGTTCTGTTCTGTGTGAATTGTTCTGTAATTCCGCTGTATAGAAGACCTAGATGTGTAAATGCCTCAGTGAATTATTGATGAATTGATGAAACCCTTCTTACCATACTTAACAGTTACTATCAGCTCAGCTAATGTTGCATGTTAGCTGCCAGATTTGTATTCTAAGTGCAGCAGATAAAAGCAGACCTGTTTCACATTTAATGAACATATTCAGTTCATATAAGCTTGAGTCCTAAATGACTGGACAAAATGTAAAAATAGAATCTGAGATATTGAGCTTTGGTGGACATTTTTTTTAGTAGCTAGTTTTAAGCTATTTATTTGAGCACCCAAAGGTCAAAGAAGGAAAATGGTGGATGTACAGTGCGAAAGTATTCACCCCCTTGAACTTTTTTTGGATTTTGTTCCTGTTACACCTTCAAATTGTAACACATTTAAATAATTTTTCTCCCTTAAATAACACAATATATTAAACACAATATGAATCAAAAAATATTTTTTATTCAAGAATATTAGTTTCTCTAGAATTAAA